TGGAGCCTGCTTCACGTTCTGTGTCTCCCTCTCTCTCTGCCCCTCCCCTGCTCGTGCTCTGTCTCTCCCTTTCTCAAAAATAAACATTTTTTTTTTAAAAAGTGCCCAGCCCTAACATCTGTACTCCTGCGACAGGTTTCAAAACACCCTCAACTTGTGCCGGAGGATAAACGCTATTTATACAACCAATGAGGGGCAAAAAGACCCGAACTCCAGAGAAGATGTTAGCCCCTCTGGCAAATGCGTCCTGGGCCTCCTGAATCACGGAGGAGGAGGAGGAGGAGGAGGAGGAGGAGGAGGAGGAGGAGGAGGAGGAGGAGGAGGAAAAGGACCTTATTTCTGCCCTCAAAAGGCTCCCAGTCCTTCAGGCCGGAGATGAGCCAAACAGAGCCCAGGACACAGAGCAGGCGGCCTGAATTCTGCCTGGGAGACATAGGAGAGACACTGGCGTGAGCCAAGCTGGAAGGGATGCCTGAACTGGGAGGGAGTTGGATGCTGGTAATGTAAGCAATTTAACTCAGAGGCCGCAGAGGGAGAGCAACTGTTAAAGAAGAAACTGCAACATTTGTATCAATAACTAAAAGGCCCCATACCTGCGCCTTGTGATTCAACTTGAAACATTTCGAATACAGTGGATATTGGCATAGAAAAACTACACTCATCCACCTCAGGAAGAAGGGGCTTGTTCCCAGACACTTACACCTGCAGCAACCAGATTAAATCGTTTTCTATATGAAAACCAACTCTTCCAAGTTTTGCCGTGGTAAACACCTTTGCAGAGAACACAACGCTTCTGGTTATTTGTAGCCTCTCAAACCCTTCTCGTCTTGGGCGAAGGGAACACGCGCTGGGGACAGTTGGCACACACAGCCGTGGAAGCCATGAAGAAGCAGGGACTCCACTTCTGTCTCCCAAGGCGCTACAGAGCCAGCGCTGAGGTCACACCAACCCCGGTCAAGTCTCTGGGGCAAGTTTCCCACACTTCCGGGGCCTCGGAGGCGGCATCCCAGAACTGCCACACGGGGATCTGAGATGACGCAGGGTAAGCACTTCGCACCCAGGCCATGGGATTAAGTGGTCCCTTACCCCACCTTCCCAGCCCCCCTCCCCCCTTGCCGGGGCTCAGCCCTAGAAGCCTTCTGTCAAAGCACCCTTACCAGAGCAGAGCTCTCCGGGTAAGGACCGGGCCACTGTGCCTCCCCTAAGCCTTCAAGGGGAAGCCACAGTAGCCAGCGGCGAGGCCAGCGGGGAACCCGGTTCCCCCTAATCTACCACTTGGTGACGATGGAGGCATGCAAGCGGGTTTGGGGCTCAACCACTGGCCTGGCTCAGCAGGCTGCGAGGTGTCTTTCCCCACCACAGCTCGGCTACTGGGAAGCGGAATTACAATGCGCGATTGCTAATAGAGGCATTATCCCTAGGAGAACAAGCTTTATTTAACAAGAAAGGCAGTTGGCTCATTGACCTCAGCCCCATCAACCCCAGACAGAACCAGAGGGGGAAAACCTGACCAGTCGTCCACGCTGGGAGGAGCCGGTCCTGGACTCGTTTCTGGGTGTGGAGAGTACCCAGGCTCCAAGCTACATTTCAGAGTGCGCCACCCCCCCACCCCCACCCCCACCGTGGAACCCCACACACATCTGACCAGGTAAATCTGCAAACAGCCAGCAATGCTTCTCTAAAATCCAGAGAGCTGGGAGACAAAAATAAATATCTCTAAATCTGAAATAAAAATTGGAAAGATAGACTTCTTTGGGACAAAGTAATATTCTAAAACAAAAACAGAATCATGTTTCCCATGCCCACAAACAGTCTTATTCAGGAACCTCGGTGAGCTCTTTCCAGTAAGATCCATACAATTCAGTCCATCACCAAGACAGTTTTCCGATCCAGACCCACTTACAATCACTTCGAAATGAGCTTTGAAAGGGTGCTAGCTACACATTGTTCCCTTTGACAAGGCCCCTCCTCACACCAACAGTAAAATTTCCTGAAAACACACACAAAAAAAAACAAAACAGGGAAAATTTTAAATAAATTATGGCACAGCCAAGTGCTGGATGATTATGCCGAGAAATTGTATCTCCAAAGTTTTTCATAACATTGAAAAGTGCTCCCGATACGTTCACCAAGAAGCTCTGTAGATATGAATCCAATGTTGTATCTGTTGTGCACACGGCGGGGGAAGGGGGACGGGGACCTAGCTGGATATCCTCTGAAATGCAGACTGGTTTGTTGGGTGGAATAAACGATTTTTAAACTGCCTGCTATGATATGCACATACTTTCCTGATGGGAAACGGTTCGATTTAAAATTCTGAAAGACCCCCACTTCGCCATCATACCCTCCTGCCCTGCAAGGTGCTCAGGCAGGTCCGAGTATGTTGTGACTCAACTCCGCTCCTCCAGGCACCCGGTCCCTTCCATCTGCGGCCCCCCCGAACAACACGTGCAGCCTCTGTACCCCACAGCGATGCTCCTGGTTTCAACAGGAGCGAAGACCCCACACCCTGCACAACTACACACAAGTGTTTCCGCACCGGGTTCTTTTCATAGTGAAAACTCCGGCCTGCCACAACTGGGCAGTCCTCTCCACTCCCAAGATGTTAACAACACAAACGTAAAATCACAACCGTATCTTACAACTGGCACAAGGGAGAACGTCTCATTATCACGAACGAACCGACCTTCGGTTAGAAGGGGCAGCAAGGGGCAGCGGAAGGTGCTCTCCCTATTCAAATGATCCTTTGGCTCAGACCTGACTTTGAATGACCTCAGTCAAATGTGCAGGAGGTCATTATCCCTCCTTGAACGGCCATCCCTCACCACACGAGGATAATGAAGCTGGCCCACATTCTCACAGCGCTGCTACAGCCACACAATGAGATTATGAATGCGAGAGTATTTCTGCTAAAGTTCTATACAAATGAAAGGTGGTATCCTTGCTGATAATAATGCAAAGAACAGAAGAGCATTTGAGCGGTTCTTAAGCTTCGTTAACAGCCAAATGCAAAAAAGACATTCCTTTTTCTAACAGAAAAATAATGGCATCATCAAAGCCCCAACTAGGATTCGTTCATGGATTCTGAGTCTTATTAGAAATGACAAGGATTCCAGCCGCGAAGGAGCTTAGCTTGTCACATGGCAAAGGTAGACAGCAAGCTATCAAAAACCATCATCTAGGAACCACGAGATTTTTTTTTTTTTTTTTTAAGAAAGAAACGAAAAGGAAAAGGTAAAACCACATCGTCTTGCTAGAAAGAATGCTTGGCTGGAAGTGCTTGAGACCCCAGAGCTCGGCTCCGAGAATGAGAAATGAAAACAAGGCGTCATGAATCACTTCGCTAGAGGTCTCTGCTCCCGGCCAGGTGCGCTCAGTACTTGCGGCTGGCTTTCATGGTGTTTCATCAGACTTCGGTGCATGCAGCCAGAGAGCTGCAGAGAGACCTGCGAAACAGGCACTGCAAGTGCCCCTTTCACTGTGACCACCACAGGGCCAGGTTCTGCCTCTAGAGGAAGACCTTCAAGCAGGATCACCCAGGCCATAGCAGGTGCACGTGGGCCCCACGGCCTCCCACAAATCCTGGCGGAGGTACATGGAGACTACACCTCTTCAAGGAATCTGCAAACATCTTAAACTGACATCAAGGCGGCCGTGTGGTCTGGCAGCCAGGTCCCACACACGGCTGGAGCACCGCTCAGGTCCTCGCGGGGAATTAGCGAGTCCCCTGCGGATATCGCCGGCCAATCAGCAGCCTGGCCGGGACACTGTTCAAGTCCGTGGGGCTGCCAAATGCCACGATGATCAGCACCACGACATCCACCTTCCCCGTCTAACTGGCCAAGCGTCAAACCGAGCCGCTCTGGGGTTAGTCGTGCGGAACGTACGGTGCCAGAGCAAAGCCCTCCTGTGGCCGATTCCCTCACAGATGGAGGGGAGCTGGGTGGCTGCCTGCAGCCAGGCTTCCGGACAATCTCCTGCCAGGCCTTGGAACATTCTCAATGTTCCTCAACAGCGGCCCTAGTGGCCTTTGGTTAGGACAGTTTGTATGGCCGCCCACTCTGCAGCCCTTGTACCTAATCTCTGGCCGACAGAGGGGAAAACTGCTGATGGAGTGTGGCCGTGGCCGGGTGGGACTCCGCGCTGACAGCCCACCTTGTCTCCCCAGGTAGCTCTGGTCGGGCCGAACGGACAGAGCAAGGAGACAACCCAGAAGCCTAGTATGGGAGAAATAAGAGCCATCCCTAATCCCAAGAGAACACAGGCCAAGGAGAGCCAGAGCCCCGCACCTCCCCGGTAGCCTTGCCTGACCAGCAGGGAGAGTAAGGGGCCTCCGGGCCTGTGAAAGGGAGACCCAGAAGCTGAGGGACCGACCCCCTGTCCTTCCGGTAGAGCTCTTCTTCTAATACGACCCAGGACTTGGGGGAGAAAACACTCTACGGGGCCAGCCTTTGCACAGAGGCAGGTGGACATGCACCTAGACATGACACAGCCCTGGCTGCAAGGGCTCCATTCGGCTGCCTGTCGGGGCAAAAACACGAAGGGGGCGGCCCTGTCCCAGCTAAACACGCGGGCCGGAACCCCCAGCCCAGCGGCACTTCTCACAACGTCTCCAGCCTCTAGCAAGACGCCCGGCCCTGGCCTGCGACCCCGTCACGGGCCCGGCGGCACCAACCCCTCAGGCTGCCCCCCGGGCATCGGCCGGGTCGCTGGGGTGGCCCAGGACGCGGCAGCACCGAGCCACTTTCACACAGGACAGGCTCCGCTGCCCATGATCAAATCAACGCTGCCGGTCCAGCCTCCCCGGCCGAGCCGGCGGCGCCCTCGGCCTCCCGCTCGGCCGTCGCCCGGCCTTGCAGGACAGGAAGCAGGGGCAGCCGCGTGCCACGGCCCGGCGCGTGTGTACACACGCACGCACACACGCGCGCGCGCACCCCGCCGCGCCGGGGGCGCCCGCTCCCCCGCGCTTTCCAGAAGCCCCGTGGCGGCCCGGCCCTCACCTTCGATGGCGATGACGTGCTCCCGGATCTGGTTCTGCAGCACCGGCTCTTCCACGCGCTCCAGCAGCTCGTAGATGGAGTAGATGTTGGGGTGGACCGACTCGAAGCGCTGGATCTCGGCCCGGATGGCAGCCGAGTTGGCCAGCTGCTGCTGGTAGTTCATGGTGCAGGCGCCGCGCCCGGAGCCGCGCGCCCCCCGCCGCCGCCGCCGCCGCCGCCCCGCGCCCCGGGGCCCGCGGGCCGCCGAGCCCGGGGCGCCGCAGCCCCCGGGGAGCCGGGCCCGCCGGCGGCGGGCGGAGGAGGCGCGAGAAGAAAGGAGCGGGCGGAGCAGGCGCGGGGCCGGCCCGCGGACTCAGTTCATGGCCGGGACGCGCGGCCGGCGGAGCGAGCGGGCCCCCGCGCCCCGGGTCAGCGGGCCCCCATGGAGCGCGCCGCGGCGGGCGCGCCCGGCCCCGGAGGAGGCTCGCTCGGGCGCCTTCCTGCGCCGCAGCCGCCTTCCACCCCTAGGCGCTGCCCCGCCGAGCAGCCATTAAAGCCAGGCAGCCGCCGCGCTCCGAGCGCCGGGGCCGAGGGCCGGCCCCCGGGCAGTGGCCGCGCCGCTCGGGGAGCCCGGCCGCGGCGTGGGTCCGCGCGCTGCGTGCTGCGCCGTCCGGCGCGCCGGGGCCCCCCGCGCCGTGCCCGCCGCGCGCCGCCCGCCGAGCCGGGACCGAGCCGCAGGCGCCGCGCAAGCCGCGGAGCCCGCTCCGAGCGCCGCCCGCCGCCTGCCCGGCCGGCCCCCTCCCTGGCACGCAGGGCCCCGGCCCACGTCGGCCCCGCCCCCGTCCGCGCCCCGCCCGCCCGCGCGCTCGCCGCCCCCCGGCCGCCGCCGCTGCGTCCTCCGCGGCGCTTCCCAGCGCGCCGGATCCCGGGGAATTGCGCCAGGCTCCGCCCCGCGCCCGCCCCTGGGCTTCCTGGGACTTGTAGTCCGCGCCGCGTCGCGTCCCTCCTGGCGGGGCCCGCGGGGAGGAGGGGCGCGCGCGGCCGGGACCGGGGGCGGCGGGCGCGGGACGGCCGCGCCTCCGGCTCCGGCCTCCCCCGGGCCCCTGCGCCGGCGCGGTGCCCTCGGCCCCCCAATACACCCCCGCGTTTTTGTTTCCCAGCCGCCGGCTCCGGAAGGCACTGCGACCCGCCGGGGTCCCACGGCCGCACCGGGTTGGCCTCCCCCCACCCGCGTTTGCACTTTCTGCCTCTTCCCAAAGTGACAGGACTGCTTCCTCTTAATGAACCCAGTTTCTTCGCGAGGGCGAAAAGCCGCCTTAGCCGTGGCGCGTGGAGTTCACACTCCATGGGTGAACTGAAGTTGAACCGTGGGTGCGAGGGGTGATGATCTACCACGGGGGCTTCCTAGGCATCCCTTCTCCTTAAAACAGACTGAGAGGTACGGATTCTGCGGATCAAACGTCGCCCGCGCCGGGTGGGTCCCCAGTGCCCGGCCTGTGAACGCCCACCCCACCCCGACCCGCGTAAGCCCAGCCCGGGACCCGCGGAGCCGGGCCGCACTGCAGCGGCGGCCCCAGCGCAGAGGGCTCTGCCCGCAAGCAAATGGGAGGTGCCGACACCAGGGCCGATCCGGGGACCCCACGGGGCCTGGCGTGTGCGCCCAGGGCGATTGCCTGCGCCCGCCCGCCCCCTCCCCCTCCCAGCGGTCTTTTGGAAACAAGAAAGCAGCCTAGGCTTCCCTGAGCAAAGCCAGCTGAGCCTTCCCCAGGTTCGCCTGCGCTCTGCATGTTGCACCCTGATATCCAGCCTCGCCGGGCTCACAATTCCCCCCAGACAAATGTGCCCATCATCTTAAGCATTCTGAGCCTTGCTTCTGCCCTCCTCCCCACCCCCAAGTCCCAGCAGGGCTCCTGACATACTTCGAGTTCATTGCTCCATCTGATATGCCTCTGGCTTTAAACTTATTGTAAGTAACTAATAACCAAGATGCCGGCTTGTGGCCTCATTTTACTTAACCTATCAGCAGGCATTGGTCACTTCCTCTCCTGGAAACCAGGTCTCCTGGCTGCTGGGATAACGTGTTCATCAGGCTTTCCTACTACTTTCCTGGCTTCTCAGTCCCTTTTGTGATTCCTGCTCACTTCGGTAAGGTCTTAAATATGTCAGGAGGTGGGGCTTGTCTCTGGACGTCTCCTCTTTTCTGTATGCAGTGATGTCTGTCATTTAGCTTTGAACATCATACACAGCACAGGTTCATGAACCTCAGATTCATCTCTCCAGCCCAGACCTCGCCCCTGGTTAACATGCGTATCCAACTGCCTCAACATCTCTGAGATGCCCACTGGCAATTTAGATCCAACATCTCAGGCTGAACTCTTCCCCTCCCCTCTGCTCCTCCTGAAATCATCTCCATCCCAGTTACGGGCAACTTTTGGCTTCTGTTTGCTCAGGGTAACAACTTGGTGCCATCCTTGATGCCTCTCCTCATATACCACAAATGGTGCCAGCTATACCTCCGAAAGATCCAGAATCCCAGTACCCCCTCACCACACCCTGCCACCGCTGCTGCGTCCTGATCATCTCACCTCTGGGTTATCGCTAGGTAATTGATCTGACCATTGGTCTCCCTGCTTCTTACCTTGTGCCCTTACACTCTTTTCTCAAGAGGGCAGCTCTGGTGAACCTTTTAAAACCGAAGTTAGGTCATGTGACACCTCTGCTCAAAACCCTCCTGTGACTCCCATCCCTCTCAGAGTAAAATCTAGTTCTCACTCTGGCCTCCAAAGCCATTTAGGCACTAGTGCCCATCAACAGCTACACAGGGTCTGAGCAGTTCCCTACTTGTAAGCTAACAAGTTAGCCTGCTGCAGTGTCATGGATGTTGGCAGAAGACACAAGACTCCTTGGTCAGAAACAAAGGACTTTGTCGTTCCCAGCAAGAACAGTAGCTAGATTATCAGCATTTTCATGCACCATTTCACCGAGCCCCGGTTCCCACAGGGCCATCAGATCCAGATGCACACATAGTGGGTTGCTCAGTAGGAGAGGAACTCGGAGCTTAGAGAACCTCAGTCTTTTATATGAGAAGTAAGCATGTCGGCTCTTCTTTCAGGAGGGAAACCCTATCTTAACTATCATGGACAGTAAGCACGTCTGCCCTTAACTGTGAACAGGAAACACTATCTCCATCTCTCAAGGCTGTTTGCCCTACAAAGGATCTTGAAGAGATGGTTCGGAGCAAAGGCAGTCCGTGTCTCTGCCCGCAGATGGGCAGAAGGACAAGAGGCCAATGAAAGATGGTCTTTCCTCTTTAGCCACACTGTGGGCCTCCTTGCTTTCCTTAAATACGCCAGCACATCCCACCTCAGCTGTTGCACTCTGTGCTTCCTCTGTCGGGAATGTGCTTCCTCAGCAACCATGCATTTCAGTTCCTCCACTTCCTTCACACATCTGTTCCAAATCCACCTTCTCAGGAAGGCTTTGCCAGACACCCTATCTAAAATGGCATCCCGTGGGGCGCCTGGGTGGCTTAGTCGGTTAAGCGTCCGACTTTCGCTTAGGTCATGATCTCGCGGTTCGTGGGTTCGTGCCCTGCGTCGGGCTCTGTACTGACTGCCAGCTCAGAGCCTGGAGCCTGTTTCGGAGTCTGTGTCTCCCTCTCTCTCTGACCCTCCCCTGCTCACGCTGTCTCTCTCTCCTAGAAATAAATAAAACATTAAAAAATAAAATAAATAAAATAAAATAAAATAAAATAAAATAAAATAAAATAAAATAAAATAAAATGGCATCCCTCTTCACCAATACGTCATGTCTCACTTCCTTGCTATGGCAAGAAGAAGATGCCCACATCTTAATCCCTGAAACCTGTACATATGTTACCTTACATGGCAAAGGGCTTTGCAGATGTGGTCGACTTAAGGATGCTCAGATGAGGGAATTTTCCTGGACGGTGTGTGTGGGTCCAGTGTAATCATAAGAGTCCTTATAAAAAGGAAGCAAGAGGGTCAGTGTCAGAGAAGGAGACGGGAGGACGGATGTCGGGGTCAGAGAGGTGGGGGATGGAAGATACTACACACAGCTAGCTCGCTTTGAAGATGGAGGAAGGGACCATGAGCCAAGGAACATACGCAGCCTCTAGAAGCTGGATGGTCCAGAAGGAACACAGTCTTATTGACACATTTCTGACTTGTAACTTCCAGAATGGTAAGATAACAAACTTGTATTTACACCACTAAGTTTGTGCTAATTTGTTACAGCAGCAATAAGAAACTAATACACTTGCTTTATTTTTTCTTAACACTTCTTTGTCTGAGACAATACATACTTTACTTGTTTATCTTAGGTAGAGTCTATGTCTGCCTCTAGAACATAAGCTCCACAAAGACCAGGATTTTTGTATTTTGTTCTTCTCTTGCCATGCACATAGTAGGTATTCAACAAATGTTAGCCACATTGAAATGAAAGTTAGTTTTTCTAGCAACGTGGCATTCACTAGACCCAGGGGCATTCACTAGGTTACTTTAGATTCATCTTATGTGAATACTGCCAAGAATTCCGGCCATTTTTTATATGATAGTTCTTCCAAGGACTTCAATTTATGAGTGAAAGCCTCACTATGAGACCAAGCTGGCCCCCACCTAGTGAATTTCTCCTGTGGCCAAAAGTATCAAGGAAAATGCTAATGACCATCCCATTCATTCAGTACTTCTCTCATTTATTCATTCAACAAATCTTTGTTTGTTTACCTACTGTATCCTGGGCAGGGTGCTACGTTCTAGGAACACAAAGATGAAAAAGATGATCCTTGCCTTTCCTGAGCTCACATTCCAGGAGAATATCTGTAGAAGAGGCACTGCTTTCAGGGTTCAATATGTGAATCCAAGTTCAAGATCATGACCAGAGGGTAAGTGAGGAGAACTATGGATGAAGGCATCCATGAAGACCCTCTACACACACACATGAACACTGGGTTCACACACAAACACATTCAGTGCCCGAGTTAGAGTTGGGTGAATAATTCTGGGAATGTCTTATTAAAAGTGGGAATTAAGGGAAATTCTGCTGGTGACCGGCCATAGACCTACATGTTCTCTCACAGCATAGCAGTACGAATTGTGTGGTCCATAGGAATAATTTTTCAGCCATAACCTTAAATTTCAAAGTGCTCCCCATCCCCAAACCCACAGAGCTATCCTTACACCTAGCTGTTCCACCTAAATTATCTCTAAGAAGTGTTTTAG